CGACGCACCTCCGGTTCTAGCTATCAACGAATAGACATTGGAAGTGGTGTATCTGTTCACGTACCTTGATAACTGTGTCACCTCTAGTGGTCACATCGCTGAGGAAGTTACATCGCGTATCGGCAGGACCTGTGTGGCTTTTCAGCGACTCAACCACCTGTGGAGACGGCGGGTTATCAGCCTGTCAGTGAAAGGTAGAGTGTATAACGCTGCGATAAGGCTGCTGTTGATGTATAGATCAGAGATCTGGCCAGTTCGCAGTAAAGAGTTTAAACGCTTGGCCGTGTTTGGCCACTGGTGCCTACGGAGATTTGTTCACATCTGGTCGGAGCACCGGCTGGGCAATATTGAGGTCCGCCAGTTGATTTTTTGGCAAGAAGCCCTCTGGTGCCTCACTCAAGTGTTAATCACTTAAGTTGGCTTAACCATGTCATTCCTATCCCCGTTGGCCGGTTCCTCGGCGTGCATTCTACGCCGTGGCTGCACCAGGTTGGGTGAAGGCGCGAGATGGCCATTCCATGACGTGGCGTAGGAGCTTGACGAAATTGACTGTGAGACATGATTAGGCTGGTATGTGGATGGGGGCCTCAGGATGGTTCACACTAGCGATTGGCGACCCTTTCACACAGGGTGGAATTAGTGGCTTCCCTGCATTCGGTTTCTTGCATCTGGTTGCTAACTTTCGTTGCATTCTGTTTTGTTTAACGCGCTTCCTTCTCGCATCCATTTTCTTTACATTCTATTCTCCTCCAACTCCACTGTCTTACCATCGTTATTTGCTCTTATTCTTTCAATGTCAGTTGTTGCACAACTGGGTCCACTGCACTTCGGTGCTCGGATCATAGTTATCCGGCCTAACTGAACTGATAGGGGGATATTCCAGGGTAAACAGCGTTTGGGGAAAGTCCACATTTACAAGTCAACACACGGCATTAGTCCGCTTACAGGGACGTTTGCCTATCGTTTCCGATGTTTTCTTGTTAAGCGGCGGACCCAACATACTATCATGAATCACAACTGTTGATTTTTTGGATGGAGGATTTAAAATGCCTTATTTTTACCTCTTGCATGCGACTTGTGATGTCGGATTTAAACTTGGTATGTTTTCCAACTGGTCTGTCTTGCGGCACTCCATCAAAGGCTTTACGTTCCTGACCGTTATCTGGGAATCGGCATAACGCGTCGATGCACATGGGTTGAATGTCTCAAGCGGATATGAGACCTAAAATATCTTCGTTTGCAACTTTATGACTCACTCCACAGTCTTGATTGTGCACTATACTCTTCCCAAGAAATCTCTGACAAATTAGTCTTGTGACTAAAAAATAGCTCAGAAGCGTAGTCAAAACCGGAAGTGAGGCGTCATAGCCAACCAACTTGCCAAAATTAGAAATCAATTTATTTTCATGGAGATCCGTGCAAGTTCATTTTAAGTGCTGAGTGCCTAACTTGTCCTGATCATAAATATGGCACTCGCCTCCCATACAACACAAATAATACATCGCTGCTTACTCGGTAGCACGCGTTCTGGGTTGTGGGATTATACCAAATTTCAATGACAAGTAGTAAATCAGGACTGGAATGTGTAATCAGATGGTGCAAGATGTGCATTTGGTTCTTCAGATAGCGGGCATTCATGAGAAGCACCTTGACATTGCTGTGCTTCTGTGGCAAACCTGGTACTTCATTGCGAACGGGGGCATGGCATTGCTACAGTGATGGTTTCTCCCTCCAATCTGCTGTTCACAGATCCAAGAACTACAGTGAGACTAAAGATTTTTTTAATCTTTAGTTCCTCTTAGTATTTATTGTTTTATGACTTAACCAAACCAGATATCCCCGTCGATAAAAATGGGATATGCACGGTTGTTTTACACGTTGTGATGGTTGCAGTGGTCATTGCTTGGCTGCGGCGCTCCAAGAGTCAATCTCTTTTAGTGTCTTAATGCATTTGCCTTTGTTGCCTTCAAGTGAAATACCTCTACCACCCTAGTCGTTTCAAACGCCAATTCCCTGCATTACTCATCCCCAGTGGCTAACACGGCTGTGTACATTCCCGGGATTGAAGCACTCCGTTGATCAACCTATGCCATCATCCGCAGCAGCAAGGATGGTCTAACTAAACTCACCTCTTTATGTCTACGATCTGGTCAGACAGATTTCGCATCTTATTCCACTAAGGCGTCGTTCTATCCATTTATCGATGCTACGAGATGCAACTCTCTTGATGAGATCCAACTTGGCAACTAAGGCATCTTGCATGATTGCCAGAATGGGATCAAGCGTTGGACGCTTTCTCATTAACGACAGATTACTTTAAAATCAACCAGTAGTCGACTGCGTAAACGATGAGTCGGCACTCAGTTGACAGTTCCAGACTGGGGCATAGTGAGTTGAGCGTGTCGGCTGAACAAGAGTAGGACTACTTTGTGTTCACTTTCGTGTATAGTATCTAGGACAGCAGTGTTGTGGACAAACTCAGGGCTTCACGATCCTTCGCATGGGGTAAATCTACGTCAAGTGAAGTAAAGTCAAAGTGGGTTTTTTGCACTGGATTATTCAGGATATTGTCACCTTTCACAACATAATTGCGGAGATAAGAAGGCATAATCTTAAGCTAAGATTGCAAGCAAGGAGTGAAAAGTCAACTATGTTCATATGTCACTAAATCAACCGTTTACGCGTGATACTGATGGCACTTGGAGTCCACGAGAAATCTTGTGATTATGGGAAGCCTGAGACCATGGGAAAATGCGGTACGAGAAAATAGAAATTTAACTTTAGGGCAGTTAGGCAAGAAAGAATGGGTTGTTAATGAAACACCGTGCAAGTGAAAATACTTGTTTGAAAGGGGTCATTTACGGAAAATTTCCCATGTGGACCGAAAGCTTAGTAACAACGAAGTCTACGATCTAGATTCTTCGGCCAAACAATCCACTTCACCTGGAAATGAAACGTACAATCAGCCCAAAGTACTTTTGCAGAATGTTGGGGGACATGATGGCGGAACAGCACACCCAGGGAAGACTAGTGCAGACTGTCATAAATTCAGAGATTAGACTGCGGCGTATTGACGGTCCTTCGAGTATCAAGGCATAAAGCCAGTGTTTGTCTTGCGATGGGTTTCATCCATAGTAGTTTCATCCATGATAGATTTTGCGACAAAGTCACGCCAAGGTAGATTGAAGTGGGATTTTGAACTATACATTGTGTGAATGTACTGCAGCGCGCAATCTCTATGTACACCGTGATTGTCATTGAAGCGAACCATTACTCAATTCGATCACTAGGACCTTAGCTAATGATGCGGAAGAAAGTGAGTGTTCCCCACCAGAAAACATTTCACTCTACGACGCGTTTCGATCTTATTTAATCTCGTCAGATATGCCAGCAGGCCTCGAACCCGGGACCTTCGGGATGTTTGTTGGGACCTCTACCCGTGTTCGGGGCCTACTGTCCCTAGCTGGTGAAATCTAATAACGTTAAAACGCGTCGGGGTGTGTAGGGTTTTCGAAAGGGCAAGGCCTAATTTCCTTCTTCCACATTAAAATACTTGCCAGTGGATGAACTGGGTGTAATTCGATTGCTCAGGACCGGCGAGAGAAGTATCTAGAAAAGTCAGAAAATTGTCATTTCGGAGAAAGTTACGTCATGACGATTGGAAGCGTTGAGAATATGGGACCGGTGTGACGACCACTGCTCAAGTTCATCTGACCCGCCTTGAAGATTCGAAGATGGTTCAACAGTGGGAACGATGCTGCCTGAGACTACATCACCAGTGTGTTTACCTGTGATAAACTTAGGGGAGCTGAGAACTGTTAATGCGTAGACAAAATGAAAGTGAAAGTAATTCCTTTTCTAATGCGACCTTGTCATCACATAGAGGGCTTTTTACTGGTCAGCTGAGTGAATCGAAAGCCATTCGTGGAACAGTTTCCCACCAGGTTTCACGTCGTCAGTTCAATGTCATTCGAAACCATCAGATGGAATAGAATTAACCTTTTGATACTTTCCAACACGTTAGCATAATTAAGAAATATGAGTCACACATTCTTGCCATTCACATCCAATGCAGTTGCTATTAAATGAGCAAGGTTTGTTAAAATATTCTATGTGAAACGTTGGGATTCATAAGCAGAGTGTGAGATATCATTGGTCTGAGTGATTTGAACAAGTGATCTCTAAGACTACAGCACCACAGGCGTACAAACGGTAGAAGGAAATTTTCTGTCTTAACAGATCTATAGTGCCTGAGATAGTAGCATCTGCTAGGCAACGGGTAAAAACATCAGTGAAAACCATAGAGAAACAGACGGCGCACTCTTTTTTCGCGTTTTGAAGCACTCGTTGTGTGTCTTGGATTGCGACTCGCAATCACATTGGTGACCTCGGTTGACTTTGAAGTCAGCTTCTGCCAATACGGTCATTGGGACCGTCACTGAAGTGGAGGGTTTCGGTGTGGCTCTCTCCAATTCCTCCACTCCACGACCGACGGTTTCGTCTTTGTTTAGACTTATCAGGTAGAGATAACCGAGCTGGAAGTAATCATGACGATAGCCGCCAAGCACTCTGCGCCGAGTTCCACTCCCAACTGGACTATCTCTACCGGATGAGTCTAAACAAAGACGAAACTGTTGGTCGTGGAGTGCAGGGATGGGAGAGAGCCATACCAAAACCCTCCAAATGGTGCACTCCTTCGGACTGTCATAGGATAGATGTCCAATTGACATCCGGTGTACTGCAGTTTCCTCCGAGTGTTTTACAACTGATGGACTGTTTCTCATTGTAACTGAACAGGCGTCGTCGATTACTTTGATCTCACGTGCCGAAAGTTTGACATTTTCGGTTCTGATGCTTTTACTTTCTCACATTCCTCACTCCTCACTGGGTGAATTCACGCACTTGCATCCGACATCCCCATTGCTACTATTCTATCCTCACAGTTTTGTTAGTCTCAGTTAGTTGCCATTTTCCATTCTTCTCCCGTCGACCCCTACCAGATTGGCTCAAACAGAGATAAACTTTGTGTCGGACGTGTTGTGTGCCGTTTGCCATCCGACACCGAATTGGCCTTGAACCTGCTATTGGTCGATGCTCACTCTACACCGTTGTCTGTTCGGCTATATAACATCGGCAAGGTAGGTTCTAGCAGTTCACACATTTTCTTAGTCCTACTCTTTGTAGTCTCATCGTTGTTCCCGTTGTGGTAAAACTCAGTACATTTGCCTTTTATCGATATTTTGCGCACAGTGGCATTTCGACCGTTTAGAGCGTAGCATTCCAAAGTATGGCACCCATTTGCCTCATATTTTGATGGTGGTTTTGATATGGTGCGTCCCTAATTTAAAGCTGGCCAGCCGACAACTTTACCCGACATTTCTGTGGTGTATATGACAGTTTCACTGATAATCAACCTATAATCTCCGTCTTTTAGCACAAACATCAACATATTATACAGTATATCGAACCCAAATTTGCTTATCCAAAGGATGCGACCAAAAGTACCTTGCCGACGAGTGGTCCATTTCGGATACTCGATGAACAACCCACTATTCTCTCGCAAATTTTTCAACCCACGAATAATTTCGTACTTGCCAACTATCGAGTTCGCCACGCCACCCCACCCCACCCCCCCATACCCTGCTCCCATCCATTAGTAGACCCTAGTGTGCACTCACGGGACCGATGCTGGTCCACGGATGCGAGTATTTTTCTCCCTCTCTGATCACCAAATTATCTCCTCACGTTGCGTATTGTAATGTGGACGACTAGCATGTTTGTTCCTCACGGTTATAGGAGTAATTTCTACTGGTTATCTGTGCGCTCCTTCAGTTAGTAATCTTTGATATTGAACATGCCTGGGTCATCAGCTTAGTGTGTGACGACATCGATACGGTTCACTTATTACTTTGCCGTTTTCACAACATTATCACGCGAATCTCACGTGCAGCGGGCTTACGGGGTGTGCTATTAGACAACGGGTTCGCATCGAAACTGGTTTCTGGCCTGGGGAAAACCCGGTTAGTGTTTGGGCACTGTTACTGAAGCAAAGCTCTTACGTCGTTAGCGGCTTGTTCAACAGTTTGGTCTTTCAGCATCTCCACTGGCAAACACTCCTACACTGAGTTGAATTTAAAATCCAGGTGCATCACCAGTTGACTGCGCATTCAAGCTACTGAGTTTAAACACTCTACGCCATTTTACTTTCCACGTGTGCTTGTTACTTTGTCAAATCACAGTTGCTCTTGGAATGTTAGACGAAGCGTTGTTTACAGCGTTGTCTGTTCATTCCCATACATGATCATCTTGCTCATCGAGTATCCATTCCTCGTGGTACATATTTCCCAGACTAATTCTCACCTCATGGTCGACAGATCAAGTGGTATCCGCATGACGAGATACTTCGGTTACCTGACCGGGTTTGCATCTCGACTCTTCGACCGGTCTTTGGCGACTGTCTCTCTCGTGCAGCATTGGAACACCTGTTAAGTTTGCATAACCCAGCATTCCCCACTTGTTTGACTCTAACTTACCTTGCTGAAACCGTGATGCCCAAATCTGTTGCGTGACTGAGTGAGTGAGAGAGAGATCGATTGTACCACTCAACAGACTTCGGGCTTTTCATCTCCCCGGACGGCGGTCACAATAATCACCACGTTGCAGCTTGTGGGGTAGTCGATGACTCACCAGTTCGCTCAATCCCTCGCTTTTATCAGCTCGTTATCACACTTATTCCTTAGAACTTTGCAAACCTTCACCGATCCATACTTGATATGAAGTGCTCTTACGAACGGATGTGGCAGCGAATGCAACGCGACGAGCTTTGGCAGCCGATTTGAATAAGTCACTTCTGTCGCCATGACGCTGCTACGTAGTGGGAGACAGCCTTGGTTCTCTTGCAGCACATTCACACTCTCCGTATATTAATCTTGCTTGACCTAACTATCGCAATCCAGCCACACGATTAGCCCTTCAAAGCCCAACTTTGAGTTCCCAACCTTTGTGCAAAATGCTACTCACGGATCTCAGTGGCCTAGTGATCAAAGCGTTAGTCGTCAACCTTCAGGTTCTGTGTTCCGTTTCCAGCTCCGATTATCTCTACTTGCTGATGTGTGACTGTTGGGAAAGCAACATCGCATCACCTCCATTTAGGATACTGTTCTTGTGATCGGAATGACTGAGGCCTACGTCAGTAAACCGAGGTCTCAATAGAGATCGCTTGTTGCAATCCACAGCAGTTACTCCAAATCAAAGTTTAAATCCCTTACCGCTGTGTCAAGCGTTATTTGCGGATCTTAGTGGCATAGTGATCAAGGCGACAGCCGTGTACCACTAGGCCCCAAGTTCCACCCCACCTCAGGCTATCTTCATCTGCTGGGTCCAAACCAGTCATGGGTTGTCAGTGTTTGTAGGAGCAACACCAAAATACCTTCATTTCGGATACGGTCTTTGTGATCGGATTGACCAAAACCCACTTCAGCGTGAGCCGAGGTCTCGAAAGAGATTACGCATCGCAATCCAGCTACGCGGTGGGCACTTCGGTGCTAAGCTCTCTACTGTGAAGCTACATTTTATCTTAAAAATAGAAATTATCGCCACTAAACGAAAAACGAACACAAATTTGTCAACTATATCACACGGGCAGATAAATTTGGTCGCAACGCTATATCATAATACCGATCTTATATCCGTTTGCGTTCCTCATTTAGGGTTAGAAGGACTTCGTCTCAAACCCCGGTTGTCAGCTGTAGCTTCTGCTACTAATCCACCTAACTGAGACAACGCATGCCACCACGGTTGTTGAAACACCGGTTGGGTGAACAGATTGCGACCCACAGTCCCGATATGCATTGCGATTCAATTTAATGTGAACTTTACCAAATCGGTCACTGGGACTATCCGAACCGTATGAACGATTGCACGTCATATTACATTCACATTACGCTTGATTCTAACATCAGAGGTTTGAGTTTATCTGAAAACCTTCGGATGGAAAGATGCAAGAACGGCTCTCTTCCCTTAACGGTGCTTTGTTGGGCACCGTATGTAACCGCCGCTATAGCTTATCCAGGGAGGAATTCACGTATATCAGCCCGACAAAGTTTATTGACCGAGTTTTTCGCCCCATTTTGCCATTTCACCAGCTAGTCACGCTGTGGTTCCACTCAACCTCAGCGTGAGATACAGTCGACACTATTAAATCGGTACTTGGTAGCCGTACTGGGAACATGACCGTACCGATGCATTTGGCTAAACTTCTGCATGCGAAAAATTATCACCAATCAGCGGGTATCCACATTGCACACTCGATGGCCAATGATTCTCGTAAGATCCGTTATACTCCCACGGTTCATAGACAGTGGTCTGGGGCTTAACTGGGACCCATCGCGTCCGGCTCAGTCATACATCGTTTCGGTATGACCATTCTGTTAATGACTTCGTTTTCCACTTCCGATGATCGTCTCTTGGGCCCCACTAAACACACGTTGTTAACTAATTTCGAAAAGGCGAATCGGTACTCTTCGAAGTGCCTGAGTCTGGTTGTATTGGGCTCTCTCTCAGCTTGGATGTCGTTGGAACCAACCATGCTGCTCACAAAACATTGAGACATGCTGTTCTCCTGTGAACATCGACTTACGTTTTCTTTGTGTGGATGTGCGTCGGGTTTCGCTACGTTTCATTTGTTCAACTTGATCGGTTGTCCTTTTATATTCTCCCTATTTAACCGCCTTCATCACGTGACATTGGTGTACATGTGCCGCCTATCTCCCATCTTCCGTTTCTTGATTCGTTTTCGTTACCCTGCGCGCAAAGGTCTTTTTGTGCTCTGGTTTCGTTTCCCGCGACTTGGGTATGCGCGAGACTTACTAATTTTGATCCCCGTTACATTGGACTTCTTTTTCTATCACTATCAGCGCAACGTTATTTTTGCAATGGCTGGCGCTCTTTATGTTGGACTAGTAAAACATCTGTGTCCATCTGCTGTGAGACTCCTTGAAAGTAGTGGAGCATTTATTTGTAACTCGATGTTTCCCCCCTTCCAGGATCTTGGACCGGATCGCAAAGATATTTTGGCCATCCCGCATCCATTTATGGAGCAATGTGACGTAAAACTGTGCCTTCTACGCGCTGTGCTCATGGCCACCTCTTCGTTCGGTGAAAAAGACCCTCAAGTAGACACATTACTGGACAAACTGGATGGCCTGAAGGCGTCAGCAGATGACCAACTTTCCTTTCGAGTTTTACGCATTCCTATCCCAGATGTCCTCGTGGTCAATGGTCAACCGGTCGGTGCAAGCTGGACTGCTGCACCTGTACTGAAGAACATTTTCTTCACCGCTGTGTGATCTGAAACCGACGCAGTCTCTTATCTCGCACACTGTTTCCTAAGACGACGACACCTACCGCCACATAGCGATCTTCAGTCGGGCACCGTGTTTGGAAGGAATCCTGCCCATTACCCAAATTCCACCTCGAACACGCTTCCACTGCAGTTCCCAATGATGCCTCTGGTGGTGTACATTGCAACGAATACATGTGTTGACCTAACCGTTGTTTTGCCATACTGGGTCGTTAATTACGAAACATTTCTGTAGTCAGCGAGAGAACATCGGCTTCGTTTCAGATAAACTGACTGAATGTCTTAATCCTATCAGGATCTTGAATTGTTTGTCGGAACGTGTTCTACACTGTGTATCGTTCTTTAATGTAAAGAGTAATTACGGCAACAATATCAGCTCCCCGGTTCTAACACTTGGACACTTATTGTTATCGGACCACTGTAATCATCTCCCCAGTCATTTATCGACAGAATTGGCTGTGCGCATTGGTGAGCATCGGAACACTTCACTATGGCGCTCACTTATCCGTCTTTTACAGTTGGCTTGCGATAAAAACGCAGTTTCATTGGTATTCGTATACACATCTATCATACCATGCCTTCCTCACTTTTTTAACAGACCCAGGAATGTGTTCATGTCACCACTTTTCCCCATCGTTGCCCGCGAACGCTAGGCTCTCTATCAACAACCGCCACTGTGCTTCACCAGACTGAACTTATTCGCAGTTGCCTCCTTCAGTCCGTAAACTGTGTGCGCGCCCGGTGGCATACAGCCTGGTTAGAACTGAACAATTACCGTATTAGAGGCCAATTTCTACCCACTCCCAGTCCCATGGGATTTCTTCGCAATGCTGATTGGAGGCATTTTCTTTCCTAAGCTAGATCTAGCGAAATTGTTCATTCAAATCGAAGAAGCACCTGAATCCCAAGAACTGTTAACGATCAACACCCACCGAGGCCTCTTTCAGTGTATCAGAATTTCGTTTGATATCAATCACCCCTCATCCATCTTCAAACAAGTGGCCATATTCATTTGTCTACCAGGTACCGCATCATACCTGGACGATTCGTCATAATGGTGATATCAACAGACGAACTATTAGGCCATATCATCGCGGTTCTCAACTGCATTCAATAATTTAGCTTTCACCACTGAATCCAGAAACGGCATCTCCTCCTCTCCTTACTGCAGTTCCTCCGATTTCTCTTCGACATTGTGTGCTGCTCTCCGGACCCTGAAAACGTTCGATAATCCAGCAGCTGCTTACTGCGAATGACCTCTCTAGGATACTGTCCTTCCTTCGTCTGACCAGATGCTAAAGTGCGTTTCTACCGGTAATGAACTATGTATGGGTTCCACTGAATCCTCCTGAAAATGGACGCGAAATAAGTGTGCTCCACTGATTGTGAAGCGGCCTTTGTCGGACTCAAGACCATGCTCACCTCAAACTACTTGCCGTCGCATTCCCAGTCCACAGATGCTCATTGCATTCGCAGTGGATGCTTCCAGTTACTGCGTGATGTAGTGCTTTCCTATGTTTTACTAGACGACTCCTAGAAAGCTATCACGCTCATATCGACTGAGAAAAATTATGTCCAGATTGAACAGAGGTTTTGACTATCATTCTAATTATTTGGAAATTCCACAAGCTTCTGTATGTTCGCCACCTCACCCTGTTCACGGTATGTTGCTATCAATGTTTGTCGCGAAGACTCGTCTCTCTGTATGTTCTACCAAACGCTGGACAATCGTCTAACGAAGATTTCGCACAAATCGGTGCCCTGTCGCACCTTATCAACAACCATGGTGCATCCAAAGACGACGCAGTAATTACGATTGCACTCACCAATGTCGATGAGCGTTGGCATTTCTCAAGTGCCATTCGTGAGATTTCGGTTACTTTCGCCGATGTACATCACGTAGCCGCACAGAATTCGATGTGTCATTACTTATACCCAAGTTCGTCTGCCCACGGAGAACCTCCTAGTTAAATTCCACCAGTTTGTCTGCTGTCGTTCTTGTGGTTTCCTGCCTTTTGTTCGCCGACGGAGCTGTTGTGACATATTTTCTCTGTTCATCTGTTCCAAGTCAATTTCACTTCGATCATCCAGACATCGACAGACCGAAGACCATCGCATGTGGTTAGTCTGCTTATCTGTTATAGGTGGGGGGTTTTCAACAGCTTGTCAGGATATGCTCTGAGTGCCAGCAAGCCGCCAAGCTACCTACAGTCAAGCACCAACTCCGTAGTAACCACCGCGAGGCCCGTTGTCCCGTCTTCGCTTCGACTTCGCTGATCCAGTCGACAGGATGCCGTTCCTCGTCCTTGTCGACGTTTACACGGTGGCTTCTGGTCACTGTGCTGAACTAAATAAATTTACCAAATTCCTCTACTCATGCGTAATCAAAAACTTGGCTCTACCAGTCTTCAGAATGCTGTGTGGATTCACGGAACTCTTGACACATGTGCGCCAACCACTGTCCTCTGCACGGACAGTAACCTGCATGGCAATGAAAGGATGGATCGGGCTATATCGCAGTTAGCTTTCATTCCATGACGGTCGGCTATCTTCCCCCATGGCTCAGTGACATAAGCCGCTGGCTAGTGGTGCAGGCCACTGGCGCTCATGGTTTCGGTTTTGTGGAGGGAGCCGTAGGAACGCATACTACTAACGAGCCCAATAGAGCGAAACGATCGTCTGGTGCTTTTCCGGCTTGTCAGTTGACCTGTCCGGCGTGTGCTATAAGTGCGCTGAACTAAATAACTCTTGCTAAATTCCTCTACTAATAAGTGGTTTCAATCAGCCCAGAAACTCCAAACGTCACCATCGCCGCCCTTCGGAGAAACTTCAACCAACCTGGTCCACGAGTTGCGCATATTCAGCTGCCCGGTCGCAGTTCACATCGCCCATTTCTCTGGCTTCTTTACCTACTATCTTATCAGCATACGTTCCCCGTCGTAACAACCACCGTCGAATTGCCAAGGTGGACGCTTCGTCGATACCTTCAATCTTGTGTTTCTGAAGTCGCATGAAAAAAAGACAAAAGTGTCAGCTGTGCGCCGCAACGGCGCTTCGCTGCCGTGCGACCACCACCAGTCGCACGCGGGTTGAGTATACCGCGAGGACGCCCATCCCTACGCGGATTCGAACCCGCGCCGCAAGATTACGAGACAAGCTCGTTACCTCTATGCTACGGACCGACCGAAATCGCATTGGGAGGGGACAGTGAATGCGACTGTAAACAAATTATTGTATGTGTATCGAACCACACCTAACGCGGTAACGGATGAGAGTCGCTTTCAAACCGAATCTGTGATGGCTCGCGAATTGCCTACGGTGCACCATGCTTTCATCCCAAAGAGAGATTCACCTCCTCCGTGTCAGAGGATCAACATGACATTAATGTTGGCACTTCTTTGGATCGCAGGCACGGACAGAATGCATTTGTCACTCACCTATGATGAGTGCTTTACGACCTAATGTGGAACCGACACAGCAACGAACTACGTTCCAGGCGAACGGACTCTGCGAAAGTCTTCAGGCATCAGCCACTTCCACTAGACTTACTATTGGATACTCTTGCTATCCCACCTGCAAGCAACATGGACTATATTCGATCGGAAACTGAGGTCGGTATAAGCTTTCCACTCTCGACGATTGACAAATCAAATTTGACGTGTTAAGCGTCTGCAGCTGGACCCAAAAAGGATAGCTACAGGCAACCGATTTTCTGAAATCCAAGAGTTTTATAGAAGTCAGTTTCCTTGAAAATGACCTAATTTTTTGTGTCTAATCAAAACATTCATGACTGTCATATTTTCCTTCGTACGTCCACTTTGCTTCACCAAGGCTGCTGATTCGTTCACGCGTTGTTCTTCATTCACGCTGTTCTATCTTGGTCACTGTAGCATTGCAGTGAAAGCTGTATGTCGGTCAGTTTTTTTGTAACGTTATACACTTGATTTCGTACGCCTTCGTATGCTCTAGGTTTGTGGGACAGACTCAAGTGGGGATTGTTGTTTGACCGATGGTCTGCACAGTGAGGCGGTCACTATCAGTCAGTAGCGGCTAGCATCGTTCAATTGGGTTTTGAACTGTAAACTTGCGAAGCGCATGCCAAATGGCGGGACTACTCAGGAGACATAGTTCAGGGTGGATTGCGCCGCCCAAACGCCGTTAAAAACTGGGCAGTATCATTCGCATAATCCAGATCGGCCATCGTTTCACCAGGCAGCACATTGACGTCTGTATCGTGAGTTTCCACAAGGAAACACTCCATGATATGATCCACGACGAAATTGAACAAAAGTGGGGAATTTGGACACCCCTGACAGATGTTGTCTGTTGTCGGAAAGATATCTGATAAGTCACTGCAGTCTCCGTCGTGGCCTGTGGTGTTCGAGTCCAAGACACGTACAATGTACCCATATTTCATGGAACACCTTTCCGCACAAGTATTTCGTACGGAGTGCCTCGATCAACTGAATCGAACGCACTTTTGAAGTCGAGAAACACAGCAGTTTTCAGTGTGCTTGGCGCTGCTGTAGCACCTGTCGCAATTGAATATATGCTCTATACAGTCGTGTCCTTTCGGAAACCTACTTGCACTTCCCTAATCTGGGATTCTCGCACCGCAATGAGGCAACGAACGAGAATTGGATCTGATAATTTTGTTACAACTGGCGTTGGGTTAATACCCCTGGGGTTAATACAGTCGATGCTAGTGCCCTTCTTGTATGTTGCCACTATAGTCGATTAACTCCAGTTAGCTGGGATGTCCTCTGCCTTCCAGGATTGTTTGAGCAGGGATGTCAGTGCTTTGCAGAGCACCTCACCTCCGTCCATAAACAGTGTAAGTGGGCGGGAATCCGGGCCAGCAGCACGAAAGCGATTATGAGCTGTGATCGCATATCGGGCCTCAACCTCCGACGGAGCCTCTAAACTAACCGTCCATGGCTCATCCTGCATCACCTGATTAGTGAGTTGTCCAGGAGCTTGGAGCCAACTGAGCTGGTTTCAAATGTGCTTCGCCCAACGAGCCATACGACGCTATTTATTGTGAATCACGGCACCCGGGCTGTCTCTAATTGTCTCAAGGTCATCTAGTATCTGGAGACCTCTGGTGCGGATCATTTGGAGAAGCTTGCGATAATTGCCTGCACTATTGCGCTGATTTCTTAAGCGCGACTGTTCCACCAGACTTCCTTGTCTGCGCGCAGACTCTGCTTTTATTCGCGCCTAATTAGTCTGCCTGATCTCTCTGTGCTCTGAGCCAGCCAGGAGTATTCTTCTGCTCTCCAACTGGTTCACGGACAATTACTGGTACCGCAAACAGGTGCTCCTGCGTGGTGCATGGCGGCCGAGATCCTATTCCACTGAAGCTCTGTGAGAGAGCGAAACCTCGGTACGCAGTGCACCCTAGTAGGCTTGACTGACCGAGGACTGAGATAACTTCTCCTTTGCCCACCAGGGTTCTTTGTCAGCGCGCAGGCTCCGCTTTAGTTCGCGCCTAGTTGTCCGTATGTTCACCTTGTGCTCCGACCGAACCGTTAATTTTCTTCTTGATTCCAACAGGTTTACCGACCTTTCGAACATCTAGTCAAATCAAGATAAGCTTTATGTTCCCGGATGGGTGCATTATCAACACTTCACGGTATCAACTATAACTGATGCGGTGACGATTGCTACTGCCGCAAACAGAGGCTCATGAAAAGTGCATGGTGGCCGACATTCGATTCCACTGATGCTCAGTGTCATTGTGACAATAGAGTGAAAGTTCGGTATGCACTGCATTCTGATAGGCTTGCCTGACCAAGGGTTGAGATAATTTCTCAATTGCTAATCAAGGGAGATGAATGATGCGCTTTTCTGGAGACTTCATGGGAAAACGACAGCGTAACTCCACTTTTACCTTGGTCCGAGTGGAACTGTACTATTTTCCCTGCAGTGTTGTACCCCCTATTCGTCGAAAGAAGCTACTTAGGGCTCACAACTAATAAATTTTTAGATGTAAGACGTGATTTGCTGGTGGATTTCACAATATTCCTACCAATAGCAGTTGTGGGTTAAGTTTTTTCTCCGCACTGTATCCGTTTTGGGCTGGTTATTTTTTCGTATTAGCTGATACGCAGGTCACTCAAGGCGCTGGAATAAAAACGCTCCAGTGCTATTCCAACAGGTATAGCAATTACGAGTAGTGCTTTGTCGGATGTTAACTTCGTCGGTTTATTCTCTAGATCCTCAGCTCCCTTTTATGTCACCCCCGATCGTCACATAAGGGTTATTCACACAGTCTTTACACACCCGTGGAAATGGCGACGAACCCTTTGTTTTGTGTAACTTCTTTCAATCGGATCAACAACCACTCTGATTCGAGAAACCGACTGTTACTGGCTATCCCGGAATCCAAGATACGAGGCCCAACTTCCATTGAAGCATTCTGTACTACCGTACGCTTTGCTAACTGAAAGAATGGGTCTCGTAATACCGCATCTAGGAGACGTCAATGCGATCCATCTTCAGCAAACGTACTTCAAATAGTGCAACACCATCCACCCAAACAAGCTATGTTCACGTGCTTCTAATTAGAGCGATCGATAGAAGGGCATTCAGGGTCATTGCGGGATGCTTCAAAATCGGACCACCGTCCATTCTTGCACAGAATGTCACATATGGCTTGGAAACCCAACACTTTTGTGTAAGTGAGATAGTGGTCGCAATACGTACGATAATCTTTGGATCAGTTGTGTGGATCTCCCTTAGACGAAAATACACCGACTGCAATGTCAATGCCAAAGCAGCGATATTCGTTTCGCGCTATGATTTTGAGAAGAGAGCTTGCCAAAAGGAAGGTTGTGGCCGATACATTAAGGCTATTAGATTACCAAAAGGACCTTGCACAGACATTGCGTCAAGCGGTGGCCAGAGGAGAAAAAGAAGCAATTGTGAAAAAATGTCAGAAGCAGCCTGAAAGTCAGGTTTCTAAATATTTTACACATGGAACTGAAAGTGAACCCCCTTACTGCAGATCATCTACACCAACAACAGGATCGGGCTACTCCACCTACACGTACCAGTGCTCAGGCATTGAGCAGAAACCTAATAATACGTCAAGCAACACTGCAACCGAGCATAGTGAGAACGACGTTGATGTTGTCTTTGGCGTTGAAGACTCCCAACAAGAAGGTGACTCTGTAAAGATGTCAGGTGTAAATTCGACTGTACCCGAGTTACCCCCAGATTCACCACTCAGGACCCAAGTTCCTCGGGGGCTAGCATTTGGACAACGCGTACGCAACGCATGGCGACAAGCAAGGAACTCTTTCAAAAACGAACGAGATTCGACCCTATTTAACACCACTTCTGCTAACTCTCCAGGTGCACCATTCCTTGTCCAAAAGTCCGCTGGAGATGTGAACATTGTTGACCAGGAGAGCAATGTCAACCAACAATCGACGCTTGAGCATGCAGATGACCATGAATCCCAGCAAATGAAAAAGGATGCTGGTAACACAGGTGAAACTCACCTACAGACAGACTTGCTCATACGGCATAACGCCGATCATTTGGTACAAAGTTTAAAGGAAGCAACTTTGCAGCTTGCTCGACGTGATATGGAGATGCAGAGGTTAATAACTGTAAATGCCCAGTTGGGTGAACGTTACTGCCGTATGCGGACCCAATATGCAGAACTAGCTCGTGAGCAGGCGCGGTTACGCAGGCGCTTCGATATACTTTTGGTGAAAGGCATGGATCATGATCACGTGAGCCCAATGTTATTCTTTCTGTATGGCACACGGAGTGACGTTTCCTCGATCACCCTGTCTGTGTATTGGTACCTTAGCAACACTAGTGATTCCCATAGATTAATCCATACGTGTGCGCCCGGACATAATGAGATGAAGACGGCTGTGACCCACAATGCCACGAAGTGGGTACGCAGTAAATAAGAAAACACCATGCAGTTGAGGCGAAACCTATGCCCATGCGAAATACTTCGCACGTTTTGGTAAAAAATCGATAATGGGAGAGCTCATCAGGGGTGGTTTACGGTTTATGCGACTGTTACGATAAGTGACATACATATCAGTTGGCTGTTAAACATACCCATACTACTTCAACAACTGGAGTACGCAAGTAGTCGAAATTAAACTAATCGACTGCCTCACTTCCCATTCGTCTGGAAGAATGGCCTAAGTTCAGTATTCGTTTAAAGGACCACTTCGTGGGCATAAGAACATGGCCACCATACACTTAAGCTGCTGTTGAGAAATGCCTTAGCTGTGGCGCCACAATTTAATAAAGGAAGACAATTTATCTTTTGTTTGTCGGGTTGTGGAATATTTTGTTTTGATTTTTATGGTTCATCCATGACATCATTCTTGCAGAGGAGTCTAAGCGGAAGAGAAGAGACATAGAACCTTAAAACATAAACGCCACTGAGCTTGGCTCTTCGTTAGCTTAACCAGTGTATCCAATCAAATATGCTCATCGTCCTTCGCACCCCAGTTAGGAAGTCGGGAAACACTAACTGACGCCAACTTCGAAGTGAGGGTCCTCATACGTTTAGACTAAGCACTCAACTTCCTTCTCCTCTACTTTCACCCAGATCCTGCTCGCGCAAACAAGGCGAGAGTCGGTGTGTTGACGTGCGCAACGCGCGGTCCACCCTTTGGAGCCTTGTACGTGATGTGACTGTTAGGAGCGGCTCACTAGCTTTTCCTTTACCGCGACGCCGAACACCTTCATCGCTCACGAGGTGTTTCCACCAGACGTGAACTAAGCTGCGAAGATTGCGATGATCGAAAGCAACTAGCCTTTTTAACTCTGTCGATCTGATAGGTCGCGATTAGCAGCCACTAAGTAGGGTTGAAGGGACGGCTGGATTATAAACTGTCCTTCAGAGCGAGAGTGATGTAGTGCCGTGGCAACAAGTAGCGAAAACTAGCAAAAGCGCCTTGCGTTTTTGTTATTATTATTATTATCATTATTTTCGTTGTTATTTTCTCTTGGTTATTTTCTATTCCAAAGGCAGATATATAGCTGCCTACATAATTGAATTTTTGAACGACTTCTAGCTTAGCTAGAAGTCGTTCAAGGGTCATTGCAAAGGGCGGTCTCTGTCATTCGTGGAGTAGTGATTCTGACTTTAGAGATGCGCAATCAGAAACCACGGACAGCCAGGACTGATTGGTACGTTTATGAACTGTCACAGCTTAAGCCGATATTATCGTTTTACTTCACGTTGTGAAGTTCATCACCTGGAAACAACTCCATCCATTCTAAGTTGTGTCTGGTGGACGTACTTTTCATAAATTCATCTTTTGGGAAGCTGAAGGGGATAAGTGACAGCGGACATTCTTTCCATATAGCAGTGATATTGATGGCCTGCAAGAAACCACAGTCTGCCCGATCTACATGCGTTAAGCGCTCCCGTGATATGTAGGTATTTTTCGAGCCACATTTCTTAATCAGACTATCTCAAATAGCGCATCTGGATCGAATGCACATTTGGTGTCGAGGATCACCATTACAGTTGGTCACTAATATAGGTTGCGATGATCCACTTACTGACGCAAAGGGACGGTGTGATTCACACAACCACTTTCTACTATATCCAGCCTTCGTTTCACGAATCCGGTTTCCAAGGATGCCAAACAATATGTAAAGAATGACAGAGACAAGTTCCAAAACGCGACATCCTCCTTATTACTGAGAACCGGAATGCATGAACCGGGCCTAGGAATGATCAGACCTGTCACATACTCGGGAGATACGCCCTTAGAGAGCGCTGTGATAATTGAGACTGTTTGCTCAGCTTCGCTAACCTTAACCGCTTTTGCATAACCAATACTCGCTTCCAGCATCCCAGGAAGCATCTTCTGACGTGGTACTCCAACTATGGTCGTACAGCAAGCCAGATAGATTGCATCTTAATCCGATTCCGGTGGATGTCCTCCATCGATGACTGTCGAGCGTACAGTGGGGCTGAAACGGGCAATAAAGGTGGTTCGGACCACGTACTCCTGCACGCCAAGTTCAGACTCCGCTTGACAACGCGCCGAAAGACCCTTCCACCAAAGCGTATCAACACTGCCCCACTGGAAAATACTGACTGCTGCCGATCCATTACGGCAGCAATAGAAGTAGAAATTTCTGCTAGTGCACCACCTTTCGTACTTGCAGAAGATGAGTCTGTCGACGCTCGTTAGTCTAGGCTAAAATCGTCAGTTCAACGTGCCGCTTTATCTACCGTGGGCTCTACCACCAAGCCTGTAAAGGAGTGGATCACTGTATATACTATCCGCTTGTCTGCTAAAGCGAGAGAAGCACGTCTCACGAATTCCCCAGACTACCGTCGCTTGAGACTTGAGGCAACCCACTCAGCACGAAATGATCTCAACCGCTACTGGTCTATTATCGCAGGCAACATGGAAGCTGCATCAAATTCTGGCAATGTGGTTCATCTCTCTCCTATCGTCCATTTACCTTCCGACAAGCGCTATTCACCACAACCGATGTTGCGCAATTTGGAAGGCCAAATCATCCCTGATACAGAAAGAAAACTTTCCAGTTGGGTAGAGTATTGTAGCAACCTCCTTAACCGCCCACTACACACCACCGCACCGATTCAAGCATTAATCCACTCAGGATATGACGCGGATAGCTCACCGCCATCTCCCACAAAATTGCAGACATCATTAGTCGCCTGAAGCCGAAGAAAGCCCGGGAGCGGGCGGGATTCCAGTGGAAATCGACAAATCTTGTCTATCAGCTCTCCTTGACCATTTGCACGAACTCTTCAGCTCGATATGGGAGACCGAAATCTGTCCTTCCTCGTGAAGTACCTCAGTACTTCTGCCACTTCTTAAGAAGGGTAACCGAACTGTGTACAGTAATTATCGAGAGGTTAATCTAATCGGTGTGGCAGCCAAAACCTTCGCACGAATCTTGCTTTCCCGCTTTGCCAATGAAAGGAACCTGCGAACTCGCCATAACCTATTTCGCTTTCGACCAGGCAAAGGCTGCACTGACCAAATCTTCACTCTATGTCGGGTACTCGAACACGCTACCAATTCCAGAAGCCCATGTTTCTGTGCTCCGTTGATTTTCGAGCTACTTTTGATTCAGTTGACCATGAAGTACTCTGTAGAATCCTACTTTCCGATGGCGTGCCGGTTAAACTCGTTAACTTGATGAGATCATACTACCGTTGCACGAAAGCCCGGATTCGGGTCTATGGAGAGGAAATAAAAGAATTCAACATCATTACTGAAGTCCGACAGGGTTACCCACTTTATCCAGTATTGTTCAACTTCGCAGTCTACTGGGTTCTGCATCATGCCCTTGACGGCTACCGTGGTGTTCAAGTTAGCCCTGACTACTGGCTTTCAGATCTAGAATTTGCTGATGATATCGCTATCCCTGAAGAAGCTGCTATATCACTACAGTCACTGCTAAATCTGGTTGACCAATCAGCCGCTATGATCGGCCTCGAAATTAACATCAGCAAGATGAAGTACTTCTCATCGTTAGCCACCCAGTCCGCCCCGTCGCTCTCCTTACATGCACAGCTCATCGAATCTGTTCCCTGATTTCAAGTATCTTGGATCCGCTTTACTCCCCAATGGTCAGACTACATCTGAAATCCGGGATGGTGTTGCCATCATTAGAACAGCCTTCTTACAACTGAGAAACAGATTGTGGCGAAGGATGGAAATTAGTCTAAGAACGGAGATCCGAGTATTCTTAGCAACCACTCGTGCCAATTTACTCTATGGTTGCGAAACATGGCCACTGCGATCCGAAGGCACCCGTAATGTGTAAGTCTTCAACCATTGGTGTCTAAGGCTTATCTTTAAAACGCAGTGTTATGAGCGTATCACCAATGACGAAATCCGTAAGCGCTGTTACGGTTTCCCGAAGCTCTCGGCGATCATCCAAGGCCGCAGACTTCAATGGTTCGGTCACCTTCTCCGCAGACCAGACACTGACTTCACTAGGGCCGTGGTTTCACCCTCGCCTTGCCTGTGTTAGTATCGTCGCTGTGGTATACAATTGAAGACATGTCTCGCAGCAGTGAAATTGGATGTCGATCTTCTGGGACTCCATTCGTGCATGGTACTCGTCACTGGAGGAATTATTGTATCAATTTCTTCGTGGAGCTTGCCGTCGACCGCCGCACTTGGGCAGTTGCAACCCGCGACATTCATGAGGCCGGCTCATCCTCTCGCTTGAGCTAGCCGCAGTAAAGTAAGTTGTTATAATCTTCTCACTAGACGCAACTCCAAAAATAACAATTCACTGCTCCGCAAAACTTCTAGCCCAACCGAAGGAAAAAAGCAGAACGCCAATGACCCTGACAAATAACGTATTAATCGCAGCCAACGAACACTGTACAACGACTGAGGACCCTGGCTGTATTTATAGGTCTCTGCTGACCTTCGACTTCTAGAATTGGAAGGTCAGCTGCCAAGGTTAGTGGTTTCCCATATCTTTTCCCGAGAGGTCAGGTGGATTTTGATCACGTGTAGAAGCAGAACATTCAGGAACGTTCGAAATCGATGCGATAATCGTTAATAATCGATTAATCGCTAAAATAGGGAATTTCCAAGGCAATTCTTACTTTCTCCCGGACACCTCCCCTCCTGAGATATGTTCCGAGGTGTAAGAGGAAAGCCTGGGATCAACTTGCAGTCTTCGGGACGGTGTTCTCTGCCTGTCGGTCCACCGCCTTGGCAGAAGCGCCCGAGAGCTTTGTTCC